AGATGTTTAGAGGCAATAGAAGAAGTAAAGGGCAAATGGAGGAAGAGAGGATCCAACAACAAAACTTGCTGATTTCTATGAAACGTTTTTGGTTTCCTCACTTTTTGTTATATTTTGATGAATCTGTTTGCTCTCTTATTTTACAACAAGAAGAAAAAGTATAGATCACAAGAGCATTCTCTCATTTCTGCCTTTAGGGCTAAAAGAGGAAAGATTTCTTTACTTCTTTTTTCTTTTGTTAGAAATAAAATTAAGCAGGATGATTGAAAAGGCTAACATGAAGAGAAAGTCATTTGATTGATTAGATTTCACAGTCATAAATTGGAGTCATTTGATTGAGAAAAGTATGATTTTTACTTTTGGCTTATTTATTTATTTGCGTTTATGTTGGATGTTAACCATGTCTAATTGAATGTACGTACAAACTTATTTCTGCCAAGTTATGTTTTCATGACCTTATTCCTCCAAAAACTGGAGCCGGAAATGTTTAAAGTCGATTATAATGACTAAAACATATAAATCCCTTTGAAATGTATAACATATATAACTTTCTTGTTCATCAAGAAAGCTTTAGAAGAAGGAGAAAATCGCCGTCTCTTATAAGCCTAATGTCGTCGATTTCGGCTCCTTCTCTGGTCAGAATCTTTGTGGCAACAAATCCAAGCTTCTTCTCACCAATCTCAATTAACTCTTCAAGAGAATTCGGTAGCTTTACCACTTTGCCGGCGGAGGAAGCCTCACCACTGATCGTCACTCTCACGGGATAAACCACACCTACTTCACTTCTTGTAGATGATGCTCCTCCTTCCTCACCTAACGCATTACAAACACATATTTATTACTATTTTATGTGTCTTTTTTTTTTTTTATCATAAACGCAAACGCAGAAATCGGCGTTTGAAATAACCGCAATCTAACGAAGGAGAGACCAAGAGGCGTTTTACCTGTGTTTGCGGCCGACATGATACCAAACAGCGAGTTCTTGAAGTTACTGAGCTTACGTCTCTGAGAGACGCCTCGAACGAAAGGCATTGCTTCTCTTGAACGGTTGTGAGCCATTACAGGCTCGCTACTATGCTTCATCAATGTTTTAATCTCTGGTGTACCAGAAGCAGACTTCGGTTTCTTCTCAACTGGTCTCTGTTCATGAAACAAAGCTTTAATGTCTTCATGTCCTTGATGCTCAGCAAGAGCACGAGCCGTCCAACCGTAAACATCTGGCATGTCCATATCAGCTCCCTGCTCTAACAAGAACTTCACAATCTCCATGTTTCCTTCTGAGACTGCTCTGTGCAAAGCTGTGGTTCCGTTGCTATCAGGGAGTGAGATATCTCCGCCGTATTTTACAATGTCTTTGAGTGCATCTAAGCTGTTTTGTTCAACGGCTAGGCAAGAGAGATGGCCTACTATGTCGAAGTTTAGCGTTGCGCCGTTTTCTGATAAGAGTTTAGAAATTTCTTCATGCCTCCCAATGATGGCCTCCCATAATGGTACATTGCCTTCGGAATCTGCGAAAGGAGTTTTAAGACATTACTAGACAATCATCGGACTATATATGCGAAAGGGACTCATGAAAGCTTATGTTATACCTCTAATGTTAGGATCTGCTCCATTCTCGAGAAGTAGTACAATACAATATTGGCTTCCTTTTGATGCTGCTATATGCTGAGATATATAATACACACACAAACAAAAACGCAGATTGAGAGTAAGCATTTTGAAAGAATTTGGAATATGACAGTTTGATTATACAGAGGATTCGAGGTGCTGACCAGTGCGGTTCGACCGTTCTTATCAGTTTCATTAGGGTTTGAGCCTCGTTTCAGTAACTGATGCAGCAGTAAATCGTCTCCTCTTGCTGCTGCAAAACATAAGCTGAGAGGTAAATCCATTTTCCCTTGAGCCAACATCTGTTCTGTATCAGCCAAGATGCCTTTCATCACTGGATCTTCTGAGTCTTTCAAATGCTGCATTAAACCATAACATATCTCATACACTACAAAATAGTAAACCTGTTGTAATCACTATGGATTTGTAAGGAAATAGCTTCGGACCAACCTGAAGAAGATTATCCATAATTATTGCCCCATCACCAACATTTGCCTGAACAAGATTTAGGAATGATGTACGGTTCAGACGAAGCAATTGACTCAATCGCTTGGTACGAACTGTGAACAATTGTGGCCTGTAACATAGCACCCCAACTTCACCAAAAACATGACCTGTCCCTGCTTCACCAACTACCTGCAATGAATACACAAATCACATCTTAATACTAGCACAACTCACATCCTAAAACCATCTTAAAAGGGAATTAACAATGCGGCGTTTACCTGATCCACTCCATTCACAGGTGCAATGATGTCCTGTCATTTAGTAGCAATAGTCATAATTTTAACATCGTGTATGGAGAAGTAGAGTTGTTCAGCTAATATAAACCAAGAAAACTTACAACAGCTCCTGTCACCATTATGTAAAAGTCTGTTGGCGCTTCATTCCGCAAAATCACATCTTCTCTGGGAGGAAAATACTCAGCCTTCATCTCAGAGACCTACAAAATATTAGAATGTTGTGTTTCATCAAAGGAAGTTTGTATAGGTAGAAAATTGTGAGTCCTTGCAATGAGAAACATACCAATTGAAACAGAAGATCATTGGATATTCCATGGAACAAGTAAATCTTGTCAACAACTTCGTAGAACAGAAAATGCGATATGCTGGAACGAATAGCTTTGGGGAGGGAATCGATAATTTCTTGCTGCCGTAGGCCTTCTGAATCAGTTCTGTACCTCAAAGACAAATGAGCTACCATCTGTTCTTGCAAGCGCTCTGGAAGATTGTTCCGCTGAGCAAACGCTGAGGCTGCTTGAATGGTATCTCTCTGAAATAATGAACAAGATAGAGTTTATTGAGTAAACCAAAATACAACGACTCTAGCCAGAGGACAAAACAATAGTTAGTTCAAAAGAAAATTGCATTGAACATTTTGTGTTCTTGGATAATGTGTCTGAATTGTATATGAAAGGAGAAACGAGCTATTAATCAAACCATAAACAGAACTTACAAAGTTTATGGTACGACTGGTCACATGAACCACCAAGTTGGTAATATTACCAATAATATACGCTAACAATCCAAGATTAAAGACCATGTAGAAGAGGATGAAGGCCCTCTCTTTTGCGTTATTACCATGTATATCACCATAACCTGTTGTTGAGAAGGTGGTTATGGACCAATACATTGCTGTAACATACTGGACAAGCAAAGATTTCTGTTTCCAGTTTTCCTCCGCAAGTGCCATAAATGTTTCGGAAGGGTCTGGGTAATGTGCAGCTATAGAATACAAGAAGCAGGCACCACAATGAATCACAAAGAGAGTAACCTACATTGCGACCATCAATGTCTTAAACTGACAGCAAAAATAAATAGCTGATTAATGTAAGATCGTGTGCAGATAAGTTACTAACGAGAAGAAGCTTCGTGCAGCGAACCCCGAAGTAATTGTATCTCCGATCTTTCTCCAATCTGATAATTTTAACACAAGGCAAGCACGAAAGATTATTACAAGGAAGATAAGAGCTAAATGATCAGTCTTATAAATATCATAGAGCTTTTCAAGTAACTGCATTCCAGAAATTTGTACACATATATAATAATGCACATTGATAACGCAATCTCACCTGGAAAAACAGTTACTGACCCTGCGTAGACGCCATAGACGCAACATACTGAAAATCCCATATCCTTGAATAGTCTTATGCAATAAGCTGGCGAAGAGTTCATAAGGAATTGTAGATATCACATCAAAAATCAGCCAAGTGGAGGTATATCTCCAAGCAATTCTCTTGGGATCATCAACTAGGAGATAAGTTGCCTTGTCCAAGAAGGCAACAAAGAATGTAAGAACGATATCGACAGCGAAAAACCCGTTCACGACGTTATCAAGAATATTGAGAGGTGCTCTTGGTGTTTGTAGGAAACCAAACTCAAAAGGCGATGCCCAGGCAGTGTAGAGCACCAACAACACTAGAAACCAATCCCACGCTCTGAAAATTTTCAACATTATGCAGCTCATCATCAGTGATACAGTTACAGAATGATAATGTAATCGATAGGGAAAAAGAGAAAATCACAGAAACTCTCTGTAGAATATACATGCAAAAGCAAATATACATGATTATGTTGGATACTTAAAATCAACCAGATCTAGAAATTGCATGTCACTATAACGCGAGCATTTCATCGAACACTGGAGATTCATAGAAACATTGTGAATAGTTTCATAGTTTCGGAGAGAAATCGATATCATTCCTAACTTCAACAGAGTAGAATTTGACGGACATTGAAATCTCTCGATAAATCACAGAAGAAACGGAAAAATTAATTTCCACAACATCAAACGATTAATCAATCATAAAATCTCAAACTAGGGTTTCATGCAATGTATAGAGAATCAAGTTAAGCGAAGAAATCGCCGTACCTGTAACGAGGATCGAAAGGAGAGACGACGAAGCAACGGAGCTTAACGTTACGAGTAGCACGAGAATTAACTCCGAGCGGAGGAAGAAGACCTTTACTAAAGCTGTAATGACTCATTGTACCTTCGATCGATATATGCTCCGCAGCTACATCCTCCGCTTCCTTGATTACTCCTCCGACGCTTCCACCGTCGTGCTTCTCCGGCCAAAACCACACCATCTTCTTCTTCCTCTTCTCCATTCCGATCTCGATTTTCCGGCGATTGAAGAAACGTCGAAGATTTTTTTAAGTGAAGAAGAATCCGTTCACGTTTCGTTGTCGAGAGAAGATTGGCGTACACATGGGTTGGTCTCTAAGGCGAATTCGTTGCTCTTCTAAACTTAGTGTGGCCGTCTGTGTTTTCTGTTTTTTGACTCTTTTGCCCCTATGTAACTGCTTTCCCTCCTTTATTTTTCTTTTCTTGGTCTCTCTCTGCATATAATAAATCCTAAATTTTATTCAATTCTCTGAAATTTCTTACTATACAAACAAAGATTCGTTTGACGAATATATTTTTAAAGGTTTGAAGTGATTATACCATAGTGTTATTGTACGCGTCAAATTAGTTAAAATTGGTTTCACTTTTTTTTTTTCATTGAA